TATAGATGTAATATATATATACATATATATATATATAGATGTAATATATATATATATATATATACATATATATAGATGTAATATATATATATATATATATATATATGCAGGTTCAGATTATATTTAGTCTCGCGTTTTCATGTAGGCATATTTCTTCCTTTACATACACATGTAAATATATTTATGTTTGTATAAAATAAATAAATAAATAAATAAATATATATATATATATATATATATGCATGCCCTCTGTCTCTACCTCTACATATCTGTACCCCTGTCTCCATATCTGTGTCTATTTATATCTGTCTCTGTCTCTGTCTCTGTCTCTGTCTCTAATTATCTGTCTCTGTCTCTAATTATCTTTCTTTCTATATCTTCACCTTTTTACGTTTCTATATCTCTATGCCTGTCTCTCTGTCTCTCTTTGTCTTTTTTATTATTTGTTTGCTGTATAAACAATAAAACGCAGAAAATATCCCAAGACAAAAACTCCGATACAAAGACTGTGCAGCAGCAGCAGCAGCCTCTGCAGCAGCAGCTGCATCACCAGCAGCTGCAGCAGCATCAGCCACAGCAGCAGCATACAGCAGCCGCAACAACAACAGCAACAACAACAACAGCAACACCAGCAGCAGCATCAGCATCAGCAGCTGCAGCAGCTGCTGCTACTGCATGCAACTAAACTTGAGAGTTATCTTGCGTTAGGGTTTCTGCTGCAGCCTGCTGCAGCAGCGGGGCCCCCCCTTTTGCTGCTGTTTCCCCACAGGGGGCCCCCAATTGTTTGATAAGAAGATTCTTGAGTTACAAAATGAAGGTCGTGGGCTTCTGTTGTGAGAGTATGCATCAATCTCTTGCTCTTTCTTAATCCTAAACTCAATTGCTTTACCCCGTGCTGCATGGTGGCTACCAAAGTCTGCGCAAAAACAAAAAAAAACAAACAAAACAATATCCATCTACTATCAGCTGCAGCTAAAGCTGCTAAAGCAGCAGAAAAAAGCAGCAGCAGCAGTACACTAGCAGCAGCACCACAGTTTACAGCATCGATACAGCAGCAGCAGCACGACAGCATCAACACATCAGCAGCATCAACACCGCACCAGCAACAGCAGCAGCAGCAAGACAGCAGCAGCAAGACAGCAGCATCAACACCGCAGTAGCAGCAAGACAGCAGCATCAACACCGCAGCAGCAGCAAGACAGCATCAGCATCAACACCGCAGCATCAGCATCAACACCGCAGCAGCAGCAGCAAGACATCAGCAGCAGCAGCAAGACATCAGCAGCAGCAGCAAGACAGCAGCAGCAGCAGCAGCAGCAGCAGCAGCAGCAGCAGACCGTTGACAGAGAATCCCTTGGTGTGTATGCGTCCGTTCTCCTTCCAATTCGCCCGCCAAAGTTTTCTGCGTTTGTCGTAGTATACTCCTTTACGAGCGATGAAAGACAGACGCAAGCCTCCGTCGTCTACAACTATATGTGTTGTTTTTCTTGCTGCTCGCTGCAGCAGCTTCCCAGCAGCAGCAGCACCAGAGGGCCCCACACACCCTCCACCAGGGGCGGCCCCTACAACAGACGAAGCCCCTATATGCAGCCTTGAACTACTACCCCGGTGTACAGACACTCCCCCAGCGCTTGCTGCTGCTCCTCCTCCTGCTGCTCCTCCTCCTGCTGCTGCTCCTCCTGCTGCTTCTGCTGCTGCTGCATCCAGCAGGTCCTGAATATGCCGCACAAATAAACAGCAAAAAAACTATCATCATTTGTCTCGCTGTCTCCGCTCTCTTGCGGTGTCTCTTCTCCTTTCTTGCTGCATCTCTTTGTCTATATTATATATATATATATATATTTCTATCTGCTATCTATCTATCTATTTGTCTCTCTGTCTCTGGGTTCCTCCCGGCAGCAGCAGCAGCAGCAGCAGCAGCAACGGCAGCAACAGCAGCGGCACCACCAGCAGCACCGGCAGCAGCAGCAGCAGCAGCAGCAGCAGCAGCACACTGGGCTTTCAGTATTGTGGTTTATATGTTGCTTACTCCTTGCATTTGTTCTAGGGGCCCTTTTGCCGCAGCAGCATCTGCTGAGCACCTCCTTTCTATCTGTTCTTCTTCTTCTTCTTTTGTCTCTGCTGCTACCTCTATGCAGCTGCTGCTGCTGGGGGCCCCCCACCAGCCGGGGGCCCCCTGCTGCTCTTCCTGCGTCATAGGATGTACACCTTCCTGCCAGGTGGATGCTGCAGCAGCAACTGCAGAAAACTGCTGCTGTTCCTGCTGCTGCTGCTGCTGCTGTTGCTGCTGCTGCTGCTGCTGCTGCGCTGCTGCAGCCCCGTAAGCCTGCGTCTCCATACCCTCAAGCAAAGGAAAGCTGCGGTCTCCTCCTGAGTGCGTGTCAAAGGAGACAGGCTCTACAACTGCAGCAGCAACCCCGCAGAAGAGGGGGCCCTCTGACCCAGGAGCAGCAGCGGACAGCTGCTGCTGCTGCTGCTGCTGCTGGTGCGGCTGCTGCAGCAGCAGCTGCTGCGGCTGCGGGTGCTCCTGTGGCTCCATTGCGTGTTGCTGCTTGTGGTGAAGAGGCAAATGCTGCAAATGGTGTTGCTGATGCAGCTGCTGCTGCACCAAATGCTGCTGCTGCTGCTGCTGCTGGTCCTGCTGCTGCGGCTGCTGATGCTGCTGCTCTTGGAACTGCCTAGGATGCAGCGCTCTCTGTCGAGCCTTGAAGCAGGAATCTTCACATTCTTCCAGTTGCTGTTGCTGCTGCTGCTGCTGTTGCTGCTGCTGCTGCAATCCGTTAGGAGGCTGCAGCTTTGCTGCTGCTGCTGCTGCTGCTGCTGCTGCATGCGTATTCGAATGCCAGGTCTGCAGCCAAGGGGTCGCTGGGGGGTGGCAGAGGGTCCAGACGCCCCCTTCACATTGAGTAGATAGGGCCCCCGCCTCATTGCTGCTGCTGCTGCAGCTGCTGCTGCTGCTGAGGCAGGGCTCCCCCTGCAGTGTATGTGTAGCGCCCATTGTGGGCAGCAGCCGATCACAGCTCATTTGCTGCTCCCGCAGGAGCGCTTCGCTGCTGCTGCAGCTGCTGCTGCTGCTGCTATCTCTGTGAATAAAACGCGGGGCCCCTGAAGTCATCTGGGGGCCCCTCAAAAAGAAGGGGGCCCCCTTCTCACCCGGAGAAGCTGCTCCAGGGGCCCCAGTGGCTGACCCTAAGGCCGGAAGAAGGGGGTATTGCTGCTGCTGCTGCTGCTGCTGCTGTGCAGCAGCAGCAGCAGGAGAAACATTCAAGCCGTTGCTGCTGCAGGAGCTGCTGCAGGAGCTGAACTGTCTCCTTACTGCATGTGCACAGCCAGCTGCAAGGGCCCCCAACCCGAATGCAGCAGCAGAGGAGATTTCCTGCTGCTGCTGAAAAGCTGCGCATGCACAAGCCCCAGTTATTGTCCCCTTCACTGAGAATACATTGTTGCTGTTGCTGCTGCTGCTGCTGCTGCTGCTGCTGTTGATGGTAATCCAGCAACGACAAACGACAGGGCTTGCTGCGGGGGCCCCCGGGGGTTTGCTGCACAGGGGCCCCTCTTCCCCGCTGTAATGCGCAGGGGGCCCCTGAAAGGAAGGTCTGAAGTCTCTATGAAAGGCCTCTTGACCTTCCGAGCAGCAGCAGCAGCTGCAGCAGCAGCTGCTGCTACTGCTGCTGCAGCAGCTGCAGCTATTGAGCGGCCTGGTTGGGCGCCTGCAGCAGCATATGCTGCTGCTGCACCCCGAATCATTAAAGGCCTTTGTTTCATCAGCAGCAGCAGCAGCAGCAGCAGGAAAAGCTGGCGAACTCGCAGCAGCCTGATATGTGGGGGCCCCTGCTGCAGTATCCAGGGGGCCCCCACATTCAAAAGAGTTGAGGGGCCCCTGGAACGCATGCAAGGCATTGGGGGGCCCCTGATGGGGGCCCCCTAATCCTGAAAGCGTAGGGGGCCCCCTGAGGCCCCCATCATCTGGCATATTGTCTTCAAGGGAGAGCGTTCTTGAGCTGCTGCATGCACCGCTCGATGCAGCAGCAGCAGCAGAAGCAGCAAAAGGGGCCTCTAGAAAGTGAAGCAGTGGGGAGTAACTGCTGTCTATACAGCTGCGACGTGTATCTAATTGCTGCAGCAATACAAACAAGAGGGGCCCGTGCAGCCCTACAAATCCGTGAGAAGAAGTATTTGCAATCTGCGGCAGAGACGAGCTGCGTACGTACACACAAACAAAAACAAAAAAAACATAATATTATGATTTAAAACATTTATATTATTATTATTCCTATTGTTTTATTATTATAAAACGCAATCATTATTAAAAAAGTATGCAAATAATAATTAGAAATAATATTTTTACAATGTATACACCGTACTACATTAATACTAAAAAAAAATATAAGCAAAATAATAATAAGTAATGTGTTTTATTATTATTAAATAAATGCAGGTCAAATAAAGCAGTAATCGTACAAACAGAAGAATAGACAAAGCAGCAGCAGCAAGACAAACAGCAGCCATAGCAAAAGCAACAGCAACAGCAGAAGCAGCAGCAGCAGCAAATTCAGCAGCACCAGCAACAACAGCAAAAGTATACAAAAGCAAACGGCAGCCCTCCCCCTACATGTGCTTAGATCACTCAGGGGCCCCTGGGGGCCCCCATATGCCCCGAGGGTTTCTACACTGCAAGGTCTATCAACCCGCAGCAGCAGCAGCAGCAGCTGCTGCTGCTGCTGCTGCACTTGTTGCTGCGCTTGCTGCTGCACTTGCTGCTGCATCTTCTGCTGCTACGCCCCGTGCTGCTGCCTCAGCCCTATGATGATGCTTGACAAACAACACTCCTAGGGTTTAGGGTTTAGGGTTTAGGGTTTTTCGTGTTATATGTAGCAACAGAGTTTCTTACCAGAGTATATCTACGGTGTCTCTATAAGCCTCGTCTGTCTGAGGCCCCACAAACTGCTGTTGCTGTTGCTGCTGCTGCTGCTGTGCGTCGCTCGCTACATCATCAATCCCTTGGTCATAGAGAGCACTCTGCTGCGGGTGCGTAGGGGGCCCCTGTGAGGGGCCCCCCAGGGGGGCCCCCTGGGGGCCCCCCTGAACGCCTGTTGTTCGTTTAAGCTTCCACTCTGCGCAGAGCCTGTCCCAATGAAAGAAGAAATTGTCATGATGAAGTGCCCAGCGTCTTGCAACAGCCCTCAAGTGTGTTAGCAGCTCAAAGGTTTTCAGTTCAGCATACAGTGTTTCGCCTGGAGGAGCAGCAGTGCATGCATTACTGGGGGCTTGTGGCTGTTGTTGGGGGCCCCTGGGGGGAGATAAAACCGAAGCAGCAGAAGAAGAAGAAGCAGAAACTGCAGCAGAAGCAGATGCAGATGCTGCAGCAGCCTGAGAGAAGCTATCATCACTCTCGCTTGCAAGAGAGGCCCCGCTGCTTGCAGAGGTGCTGGGCACAACTGAGTGCAGCAGCAACGGGGGGGGCCCCAGCAGCTGTTCAAACTTAACGCCAAAGGCCTCTTCAGGCTTCTCAAGGGGCCCCTCTGGGGGCCCCTCACTGCTGCTGCTGCTGCTCCAAGAGGCGCCCAATGATGCTGCTGGGGATCCGTCTGAGAGGAAGAGGCCCTCTTCTTCTGCTGCTGCCTCTAGGGAAGCTGCAGCAGCACAACGCAAAGATGTAAGCACACAGACGCATGCAAGAAGAAGAGAAGAGTGCAATATGCAGCAGCAAATGCATGCTTCGAACAGCAGCAGTCAGGCAAGACAGCGCCAAAGGAACAGGAAGGGCTTCCTTACTCGGTTTTGGGACAACTAAGGGAGAGACTGGTGCTTCCTTTATCTGCTGATCAGGGGGAGAAGGAGAAGCGGTGCAGCAATAGGGGGCCCCCGTAAGCGAAGGGTCCTCAGCCTCTCCGCAGCAGAAGGGGGCCCCTGTGCAAAGGCTGCTGCTGCAGTTCATGCTGACAGCGTTTCTGCATGGGTAGGGGTTTTCAGAGATGAGACAGAAGCAGAAGAAGAAGAATTAAAGAAGAAATGCTGCAAACAAGCTGCAGCAGCAGGCCTCTGCTTCCTTCCGCTCGCAGCAACAACAAGCAGAACCAGTCCAGCCGCCAACCGTCTGATGCAGCAGCTGTACTGCTCTCTTTAGGGAAGAAAGCGTAGTATTTAAAAAATAAAACAAGCTTTGTCTAGGAGTAAATGAGTCAAAGAACAAGAAAACCTGCTTAATCGGTAGAAACAAAGGATTTATTTGTAAGAAACTCTCCTCAAGCTCCTTCCTTCTTCTGCTGCTGGCTTTGGTCGAGCCGTGGGGTGTATACAGCATAGTATGCGATAGAGGTAGCGGCATAAGCAGCTTAATCAGAATGGCTTCTTCATGAAAAACCTTGTTTTCAATGTTGCTACTATCTTTGCTTCCTTTATTCCAGAACAGACTCAAGCCATTCCCACACCTGCACTTCTCTGCAGAACTTGCACAGCCCTCCGCGCAGGAAGCACCAGTAAGCAGCTTCTACATCCATTTAGAGTCTACTAACGAGTAGATCACTAAAACGAGATGAATTTCATTGGATTTACACACAAGTGTGTTGCAGCAATATACCCCAGTGGGCCTTGTTTTCAATGTTGCTACTATCTTTGCTTCCTTTATTCCAGAACAGACTCGAGCCATTCCCACACCTGCACTTCTCTGCAGAACTTGCACAGCCCTCCGCGCAGGAAGCACCAGTAAGCAGCTTCTACATCCATTTAGAGTCTACTAACGAGTAGATCACTAAAACGAGATGAATTTCATTGGATTTACACACAAGTGTGTTGCAGCAATATACCCCAGTGGGCAGCGGACGCGCCGCTCTCCAACGCACCGCTTACTTGGCTTGAGCTGTATGTACACTCAAATTCATCTTTCTTGCAAGCTTCACGCTTCCTGCATTCTTCTTATAGCATTGAAATGAACAAATACACACAAAAGAGGCTCCTTCCTCTCAGCTTTCCTCTCCACCCAAGAAGGGAGAGCTAGCTTAGCGATTAGGGTTGGGGGTTTCCTTTGTTAGCCGCAGCATATGTATTTTATTGCAGCATTTGCATTTGCTGCACGGTGTATTTGAGGGTATTTATATAGTTCCAGTTGAATGGAGGCTGATGAAATAGGGCTGATGCATTACTCAAGAAATGTCTATAGCGTGAAGTAATGAATGCATGCATTGGGAGGTGCGTAGGAAGGGTTGGTTGCTGGCTTTCCTTGCAGAAGGCGTACAAAAGTGTGCAGTGTATATACAGCACACTTTAGTATTTCTTCTACTGTCGTGTATGTTGTATGTTTGTGGTACGACAGGCTGCCTTTTCATCAGTTTCAGGCATTTAAGCTCCTTTATCCAGGAAACCCAAAGAGAAGAGGGCAGTTTCTTCTCTATTAAGAGTTTTTGCAATTGTCTTGACGCAGCTGTAATTCAAGAAGATCTTCTGCTAAGGTTGAGGGCTCTCTTAACACCTTTCATCACCTCATTATTCAAAAAAGATACAGAAAAGAACTGTGAAACAAAGCAGAGAGGCCTTTTATATGTATATATTATACACTTTGCTTCGCTGTGAAGGCGATTTCATAGGAAGAAAAAGAAAGAAAGAAAGAAATAATTTATTTGATAGTCTCCCTTAACTCCTTGCTGAAAGACAGACATTATCTCATTTCTATATAATAAAGGCGACCGATGGACTCCTCGCTTTGAAGC